TAGGGTTCCACAGTATCCAGGGTTTGAAATGGTGGAAGGATCTCTTTCCCAGGCAGTGTAACTCATCAGGTCATCGTTAGTCCACTCCCAACTATCTGCACCTTGTTCACCGACCTATAGAGTAACAGAAACAGTCAAGCAGGGGAGTGGCCCATAGAATGCTCCTTGCATGATCCCTTTGACTACAACACCTGATCCTTTCTTCTGCATCCTAGAATTTGGTCAGCTCTTCCAGATGATATTTATGGACTATATTCTCTAAGAAGTTCTCCTTTAAATCAATACTCCTTTTGGAAAATTGTAAACTCAAGCTCAATGGAAGCACCTAAAGTAGCATGTTACTACCTGAACAATTCTTGGTGATGCATCTGCGATTAGCCTGTGACCCTCAAACACAGTGTCTGTTCTATAGGAGTCAAATAAGGTCTTTTCTTCATGGAGGTTCTGCTCAGCACTGTTTGTTCAAACTTCTAACTTGGAGGACTGAGTGACAAAACTTCAGGTGAGATTTGGGTATAAAGTATAGAAAAGGAATATTCAGCTGTAGACCAGAGCCTCTAGAGAACTCAGCTCTTCAGTTGGCCTCAAGGGCCTCCCTGCCCCCAAAATGACACCCAGGATCACTGAGCTCCAAGGCTCCATTGTGTATTTCCATGTCAAGGGGCAGAGACTAAGGCTGATGACAACAGTCACTTCAGAGATAAGAGAGAGGAAGGCATGTGGTCATACATGTGTGGGGTAATGGAGCCCAATCCAGATGTTTGCATAGGTGTTTGTTGTGGTCTTCACCAACGAGGACACGAAGGATCCTTCAAGTGAACTCTGCACAGATGCGAGGTGTCCTTCGGACCGCTTCTGGCAGGCTATCTGTGTGGGAAAGGAAAGCCCAGGGGAGAGACAGATAAGAAGGAGGGTGTGTGATTGCATATACACACTCACCACCACGTGTCCTCTTGCTCCTTTGGTCTTCCATGTACTTTCACTTGTGACCCCTATACCTACATTAGACTGCATACCTCTGCATTAGGCCAGCTTCTTGCTGTCAGAAACAATGCATAACAGTAGGAACCAAAAGCTTTGGAGCCTCTGGGACAGCTGATCCGTGAAGAGGGATTTTCCATCTGGGAATCTTCACCTTTAGTAGAAGGAAGATAAAGTAGGAGAACAAAATGAAATGAAGTGTGGTAACTGGGGATGAATAAGTGGAGAGGCAATATTGAAGGACTGTCCGTGAGTCCAGTGTATGGGGCTGTGATGCTCACTCCTGACTACCTCTCACCTTTGACAACTTGGAAGCTTTATACAGGGTCATTCATTGTGAGTCAGAACCATCTTGATATCACTTAATGACAACAACAAACAAGGAAGCCAGGGCTAGAGGCAGAGAAATCTCACCTTGGACCTGGAATCCAAGCATCAGGCAGGATAGCAGCATAAAGTACATGCTACGGAAGTCCACGGAAGGCAGCATCTTACCTGTGTGATGAGGAGG